GCAAACCCTGTGAAAGCAACGTTTGCTCAGATTTCCATTAGATCCCTGTCACTCGTGTTAACAGGAATTGTGCACATGCCATTTTTTAGATTCCTGATGGTCAAACAACGCCTGGGTGCTCCTTTTAAGTAACTTAAAATCTTAAGTGTGATTTTTTTAAGGTCAAAAACATTTAGTATATAAAAAGTGGTGAAAAGAAAAATAACATGGCAAGCTTGATTTCTCCGTGTAAATACTAATCTCTGATGAAATGTTTAGGCTCAGCCTAAAAAAATGCTGACTTTAAAGGGAATTACTTAAATCAAAATTAAACTTAAAAAAAATGCTGTGGGGCCCCTTTGCACTGTCACTATACTGTCTGCACTAACCCTGTCCATTCTAACAGCAACAATGAAGGCTTGGGGGAACTGCCCTTGTGGGTTTCTGAGACTGTAACTCTTTACAGGAATAGAAAACTTGGTCTATCTCCCAGAGACTGCTGGTTTCAAACTGCTGATCTTGCAATTAGCAGTTCAATGGGTAAATACTATGCCACCAGGGGTCCTTTGCTTTCGGTTTGTTTACATGTTTAAGGGGAACCTGGTGGCATAGCTGAGTAGTAGGCTGTGTTGGGCTGCTAAGAACCAAGGTCAGCAGTTCAACTCCCTAAGTCCCTCTGAAGTAGAAAGGTGAGGATGTCTCCTCCTGAAAAGATTTAGCCTTGGAAACTCAAAAAGGCAGTTCCATTCTGGCCCACAGAAATGGACCCAACCACAGTGGGCTTGGTTAAGCACTAGCTGCTAACTGAACTGTCTGTGGTGCAACCAGCCACTTCACGGGACACAGCCGAGGCAGTCTGCGTCAGTAAAGAGAAGGGGTTGGGGATGGTGGGGCAGTTCTTCCCTGTCCGATACAGGCACTATGAGTTGGAGGCAATGTGATGGAAATAGGCTTGGGTTTAAATGTTAAAGAGTTTAGTGCTTTCAATTTTCCAAAGTCAAGGTCACAACTCCAATTTTGCTTTGGACAAAAACTCTATCTTGACTAAAGAAACATTAATTAATGGTTGAACAACAGGCACCTCTTTGCTGGGGTCACAAAAGAAGAAACAAAGTGGGCAAACCCACTGCTGTTACTTGGGGAAAAACAAAACAAAACAAAACAAAATCCTGTGCCCACACATGCCTAATTATCTTCGAATCAGCCATAGAAAAAGGAATGGCAACGGCAGCCAGCATTTATATAGTGTTTAAACCCTCCTATGTTGGGATCGTGAGAGTCCTTGCACAGTGCAAATTGTTAACGCCAGCTAACCCACAGACACTTAGGAAGTCAGCAGGCCTGACAATGTACTTCCGAAAAATCAGGCACTGAAAACCCCCAACAGTGCTACTGATGCAGGAGTTGGAACTAACATATGGGAATAGTGTTGCATTGTTGTTGTTGTTTTGGCTTTTGGTTTGGTATCAGTGATCAGATATTACAGTTCTTTAACTCTGAAAAGTGTCCTGGCTTGGGCAATAAATTAAAGGGTCATCCAGCTTCAATATATTATCTCACTTAATCCTTACAACAATGCTTTGAAGTGTGTATTATTATCTTCCTTTTACAGGTAAGTAGTGTCCCTTCTGCATCCACAGAAACATACACAATTATATTTTTAGAAAATCTTCACCTCACTCTGCCATTGAGCTGATTCTAGAAATATCTAACAAACCAACATCTCAATTTTTAACAGGCACATAACCATGAGTTTTCCTAATAAAAAAAATAAAACAACACTCTCAAAACCAAAAAGCTCTAATAAATGGACTGTAGAGTCTCTCCCAACCCCTTTCTCCCATCGGTTGCTCTGACATAATGGGGTATCCAAGCTAGGTTCTCTACTCTGCTCTAGAACTGATTTCCATCAGGGCACTAACACTGTTTAACATGCCTTCAATTAACAAGTACAAATTACAAACTGTTAGCATGGTTTAAATTAACAGCATCAGCATCAAAACTGTTTTCAGTTAGCCACAACGGTGGGGTGGCCACCACTAACTAGCTATGTGACCAGAAGCCACTTCCCTGCCCAGGACCTCCATTTATTTTTCTACACAATCACAATGTTGGGGACACTCCGTCTAGTTCATCCACTTCTTCTTTTAGAGGCATGGCAGTTCCTCAACTTGACCAAAGTGTCCTTGTACTGGATGCAGGAAATTCAGTTGCTTCTCTAAGAGTCCCCGAGCAGCTGGGAATGCAGACCATGCCTAAGGATTACAAGAGGGCACAGAGCCTTGCCAGGAACCTCAAATTTACATGGTGGCATTGGCCTTCTTCTAAACTCAAGCATTAGGTAAATCCTGCTTCTCCAAGAACTTTCCAGGATCACGGTTGAAACATCTAGCTCATCTACCACTAATTAATTTCTCCAAGATCACTCTAATCCAAGTCCACATCAACTCTTAAAATGGTTCTCAACCTTCCTAATGCCGTGCCCCTTTAATACAGTTCCTCATGTTGTGGTGACCCCCCAACCATAAATTTTATTTTCATTGCTACTTCATAACTGTAATTTTGCTACTATTATGAATTAGCCAACCCCTCTGAAAGGGTCGTTTGACCCCCCAAAGGGTCGCGACCCACAGGTTGAGAACCGCTGTAGGAAGCTACTTCTCACTGGGCTCCCTGTTTCCATTCTTGCCTTCCCAGCATCTCTCCTCTATGCAACTGGACAGAAAGATCTACAAGATGAATTCGTTCGCTAACTCTCTTGCTTGAAATCCTTCAGTCAGTTTGAAGTGCTCACATCACACACCTCAGCCTCCTTCCCATGGACTGCAATGAACTCTTTATGAACTCTGGTGTGTTTCTCTCTTTTTTTATACCAAACTCCTATGGGCCCTCCTGAATGCAGCCTTACCAGCCTGTCTTCCCAGTGGACACACAGCACTGGTTGTTGCCTCTATGTGGAACACTTGGCGAGCTTTTCCACATCATCAGCCCTTTTCTTCCACTTTGGGCCTTAGCTGGAATGTTACTTTGCAGGTAAGTCTTACCTGATCACCCCATTTCAACCTATCCCTCACCCATTACTCTGTCATCACGCCACTCCATTCTTTCTCAGGACATAATCAGTTTCAAAATTTAATTAGGTTACGTCTCAGAAATTATTTGAGTTAGTTGATTGCATTCTTCTGCTTCTCTCCCATAATCAGGAGCAGGGCTGGTCTTTGTCTAGTTTACTTTGTCGCCCCAGCATCTTAGATACCTAGAAGGTATGCAATTGACTCTTGTGCACTACTCATTTCTCAACACACTACTCATTTCTCAACTTTTAGCACAAGCTCATTTGAGGAAAGTCATATTATTGAGCACTGCCTGAAGAAGTTGTGGCTCATCTTGTCCTTTATGGTCTAAGATATTCTTATAACAAGCACTCACACTGGATTAAGCTAGTCCAGCAGAGCTACCACCAAACCATATGTTCTGTTGGCTTTAACATGCCTTTCTGATTTGTAAGTTAGCCTTCTGTGACCCATAATAGAGATGTGCTAAGAAACATGTCTTTAATGACACTGGCTCCTCTTTAGGAGGACCGCAAAGATAAGAGTTTTCTCTAAAGTGTAAGTCAGAGAAAAACAAAATACAAAACAAACCTGAGCTGGGTATTTCACATGGCTCTTTCCTGGTCCCTGGTTCAAAGTGTTGGCCAGGGCCAGTTTATGCACGGGCTGCTTAAAAGAGCCGAGTCACTTGTAGTATTCTTAACTGAAGTACCACATGTTAATTCCTGAATTTTGAGGCTCCCTCCCACTCCTAGCGTCCTCGTTTTCCCGCCGCTCAATGTTCTTTTTGCCCTTCTTGCTATCCATTTACATTACGTTTAGATTTATTCACTATGGTGTGCTGCATTAAATCTTTTCAGGAAGAGGGCATAGATATAAATCAGTTTGGAGGGCTACAGCAGTAATATGCATAAAACACTGTGCTTAATAGGTAGAGAGATCTATTTGGGGAAAGAGAACAGAAAAATAAATAGGATTTCACCAGGCAGAAAGGGAGGAGAAGGCATAGGCCTCGTGGAATGGTAGCAGCGAGGCGAGTAGCCCCCACTCTCACATTTAATACCACTTACTGACCAATACTAGGTGTCAGACTCAGTGCAAAGTGCTTTACACCTTTTATTGGATTTAATACTCGCTACAATCCATGATGTATATTTTATCGCTCTCATGTATAGAGAATGAAAATGAGGCTCACTGAGGTTAATTAACCTGCCCACGGCCAGTTAGCTTATAAGTGGCTGAGTGGGGAATCCTGATGTCCCCCCAAGAGTATACAGGGCACTTGGCTGTGGTCAGAACTCATCTTCCTGGCCCTTCTGTCTGATAAAACACATCCCGCCTTTGTGGTTCTCCATCTCAATAGAGAAAGAGCACTAAGAGCCCTGCAGTTGGGCAAGCCAGAATCATGAGGTAATATTGAAGACTCCGCTTCACACGCACACTCAGTCGCTGAAGTCCTAACATTCTGCTGCATCCATTTCACTTCCGACTGCTGCCCAGGCTCTGCATTCCCAGGAGAATGCACAGGGGTGAAGAGCAAGAACTCGGAGCAAGGCTGCCTGGTTTTGAGCTCGGGGCACCAAACCTTTGAGACCTTCATCTCTTTGTGTCCTGGTTTCCTATGTAAAATGCAGATCATTAGAAAACTGCTTGACCGAGGGTATAAGGACTACATAAATGTTAAAAAGTGGAGGGGGGAATTGGTTTTCACTTTCCTTTTCTGTCATCATTCCTCACATGGTTATTTCGTTTTATTGCAAATCTGATTACCCTACTCCCATGTTCAAATTTAAAAGCCGACATAGTCATTGCTCACCGTCTTCTGGGTTCTCCCAACACTTTAAGGCCTTTACACAAGTAGCTCCTCGCTGGATACACCAGCTCCCCCATTACATGTTTATCCTTCAAAACACGAGATTAAGTTTTCCAGGATGGATTTCTGGTTCCCGGAAAATTGGAAAAGCTAACTCCGAGACATGCCCCTACAGCCCTCAATCTTAAACTCCTCAGTGGCAACAAGGGCCATGCCTAACACTAATTTATTCAACGTTGCCTTTCCCACTAGACTGTAACCTCAGAGAGATCTCAGGCTGCTGGTTCCCGGCTGTGATTTCCAGAGCCAGCCCAGAAAGAATAAACATCTCCGGAATGAAGCAAACTGGAATGAAGCAAAAGTGAAACTTCCCTCGAAATTTCTGGTCCCACCTCCACTACAACTTACCACACCCACACATTTGGGCCTATCGCTTTTCTTCCCATTGGCCAGCCCCCCCTTTAATATGGAGACCCCGTCTGTCCCCAACTCTCCGCAGGCATCTACAGTCAGCAGTCACACTGCCCTCCCAGTGGTCACAACTCTTTCCTTAACCGGATGTCAGACCTCCTGTCCCTCTACGTTAGGCACCCCTCCCATCTGCCCATCGTAACTGTTCATCCTTCCCCAAGGTGCCACCCAATTCAGTTCCCGGGCCACCCCGGGACCCTTCTTCACAGTCTTCCTTAACCACCCTCAAAACTGTCATCCATTCGGGCTCTGCGTCCCAACCTCCCCTCAATCGGTCCAACAAACCACCCTCCTTAAGAAACACACACGCAAATCTTTTCTTACCGGCCCCCCCCCCCC